TTAAAGCTTAAAGTGCATTTCCCCTGAGTTATCTGTAAAAAGGGTCCTTAATACCACTTCTAACCATCGGCATGCTCAGTGTTTCAAGACCTGGTCAGTGGTTTATCTAGGTAGGTTATCGCAAAAAAGTGCTTCAGACCGAGGTCCCGTGAGAACAGTGTGCCAAGGATACCGCATAACGCATTCATTTCTCTAGTTTAAAATAAGAGCACTAAATTTGACGAAAAGAATAGGTACTTGACTCACGAACTTTGTGTTTGATGAGAATCTAACCCATAACTTTCATAAAGAGCGATATTTATTGCTATAGCTATTACGGCAAAAAAAATAGTTGTTTCATTTATTCCCCAATGTTGTAGAGATCATACGGGTTTAAATTATGATTGTGATTATAGGTATAACTAAATGTCTGTAAATATTCAAAGCAGGTATTATTGAATTTGGGGCAATTTTAAATTATATGATTGAGTATTTGAATAGTGGTGTATTTCAACATTTGTCGGTATATTTTATTTTAAATCGGTGTAAATACTCTAGCTACCATCAAGAGTATTTGTTAGTAAAAATTTGAGTATTGCCAAAGTCGGGAGGTACATTTTCTAAGGTAAGATATTTCTAAGGTAATAGGTGAATTCCACGCTGTTTTCAAAGTAGAAGCTAATTTTACTACTTGATCAGCTAGTTCGTTGCCAAGAAGTCCAATGTGAGCTTAAAATCCGTGAGAATCTAATGGTTCCTATTTTTTAGATGTTGCATTTTGATTTGTGTGCGGAAGCTATTAGTAAATTAGTGGAATCTGTTTTTTTCCTTGAGAGCAAAGAGCGAATCCAAGAAGATGACGCTGTCTCTGATATTATGGTTTCTTTCGATCCATCCGCATGCTTTTACAATTCCTAATACCTCTGCCTGAAAGACAGTGCACGAGTGGTGTAATCTCATTTTTTTCATAATCTCATAGAAAAAAAGTATTCTCTTATAAATTATTTTAAAGTAATGAAGGTAAAAGAATGAAAACAAAAAAGAATATAAAGAAACGTTAGACCGGACTTTTCGAAAATTAAAAACCTTTTATTGCAAGGATTTATATGACTCCATGTTATTCATAGCTTGTCTGCGGTATTTAAATATTAGTTGTCAGACTTTTAAAATATTTATCAATTATTCTGAGAAATCCGAATCCATACTGTACTAAGCTAATTTAATTATAAAATTATTAACTATTGAAATTGTCCTCATGACCTTCTTCGATGTGCATATTTTCCCAATGCAATGTCTAACAGAACCTAAGCCCGTTCACTATTGAAAAAAAATATGGAGTAATTTACATAAAAAAATTGTACTGGTAAAGGTTTAAGCAACTCGTATGTGGGCATACGTCGCCACCCGCATACCTGTTATCGCGACACGGTACGCGAGTAGAGTTCATAACGTACGATCAATACTATGCCTTATCACCACTCTAAAAGTTTAGTTACGACTATCGGGCGTAGATTAGCGAACAGCGACTAGATAGACCGTGTGTATTAAGCCGAATTTTTTGAAGCTTATGACGGTATTACTTGTAGAATTATAATAAAGAATAGCTATAAATACCAGCAGATTATGAAACTTTTAACTGGTTTGCGAGTAGATTATAACAATAAGCAACTCGTACAACTTTGTCTCCATTTCCAAAATGGCAAAATAAAAAATTTAATAAGAATCAATTATATAGGTATATAAATATGAGTAAATTTATAAGATTAAGCACGCACTTAGAGTAGTTTTGTTGAATTAAGTAATTTATCAATTTAATAAAAACTTTCGTCAAATCTTTATTTAATAAAACAGTTTTAATAAGATTGCCTTATGAAAGATGGCCCATCTAAGAATAGAATTTGGATTCAATACAATTCATTGTTTTCGGAGTATATTTGAGATCGTATAGACAAATTATATGACATCCGTGGAGTATAATTAAGTGTGTAAATTCCACATATAATCCGACGCGTACTAATGCATGATACTCTCAACGGTTATTTCGCACTTTATCTTTTTTCATATGATTTCTATGCACGCCGAACTTATTTTGAAACGAAACAAAAAATCGTATGGTTGCTTCTTTCTATTACTGTAGTATCGATTATTATAGAATTGGGATTCAAATAGTCGATTAATGAATTTATGCAATGAAAAAATTAATATCACAAGTGATATTTATTACTAAGCTTCTTAGTGATCACGAATTTTCTAGGTGAAGTTGTAACTTGATATTTTTGATAGTTTAATAAAATGTGAAAACTGTTTCTTGGGTAAATTTATTCTGTTACGAAATGTTACCATATTTAGTAAATTTTCTTTAGTTGCTATGGAATTTCCTTTGATATTTTGAATGACTTTACAGTAAAAAAATTAATTGATCGTATACTAATTTTATTACCCGCGCATATTAAATCTTCCCTATTTTTATCTATCCGGACGTGATAAATAAAAAAAATCAAAAGTAAATATAATTTATTGATAAATTATGTAAATTAATTGAAAATATTGAAAACGTAAGAAATATGAACTTCATATGTGTGAATCAAGATGCTGAAAAAATAATGCCGAACATTACACCAACACGCAGCCGATCTGTGTCGCAAAAAATTTATAAATATTATAGACGGTTGCTTATAAATTTCGAACGGATTGTATTTTTACTACAAACGATTATAAACATTTAAAATAAATAAGAAGAAAAAATACTACGCACCTCGAAACCCATTAAAGAGTTGTTTTCACTAAATTTCTCTACAATTGTAATGGTATAATTGGGATCCTTTGAGAAAGGACTTTCGAAGGTTACACAAAGACCTGAATAGTGACGAGAATTAAATATAAGTAAACATTGAATCAAGTCTATAACGTATATAGTTTGGATTGACTCTGTGATCTAGTCAAAAAAGTGTCTCGAGAATTAATCTATTAAACAAACAAATGTCTTACCAATATTATATTTAATTTAAAAAAATGTAATTTACACTTAAAGTTCTAGTAGAACAGAAACCTCTTTAAAAAAATGAGTATGTCTATCTCCTATTTTTACCGTACTAATCTAAGGCTTATAGATTTTTAAAGGTTTGATAATAATTGCTTTAGATTACTACAGAAATAAAAAAAAACGTTTATACTTTACATTTTTTTTTATAATTTCGAATTTATTGGCGTTAAAGAATAGCCGATTAATGAAACAATTTATTTACAAAATAGCAATAACACAAATCATCTAGCACATACTCCAGGGAGCGATAGAGGTCCAAAAACTCGAATACAGTCTTGGATTGTAATTTCTTTTATAATAATTAAAGCTTTATATCTTTTTTATATTGTCATAAGAAAAAATGCAAACGATAGTTATTCAAAATAGTAGATCACTGTTATTGCACGAAATATTTTTATTTGCAATTTCAAAAACTGTTGAAAACTATTTATTATTTAATAAAAAATACTCTTTGTGTCGTTATATTAATTTTACGTTCAATATTTAGTTGCGTTAAAATCCGAAACAATTATGACATTGAAATAATTTCATTCGCGATTATTTTATTTTTACTATATATTTATACTTTTAAGTTAACAAATATTCGATAGAACATTTTATTTTTATTCATAAGAAATATTGAATTTACGATGTGAAATATTTTTAAGATTAGAAAGAACAATATTTCTTCCTATTAGTTTACATTACGGTTTTTGTATTTTTATACTTAATCTATTACAATTTTTTCTGCGGAATTTAAATTATAGTAGTTGAGCTCTTTTCAATTATTCTTCTCTGGATTTATTTATAACTCTAAATATATTTAAAACATCTGTTTTTCATTATTTCAATTATTGTCCTGTTTAATATGACCAATATCGGCATTAAAACGTAAATTATGAATCCATTTGCCAATATAAGTTAATTTGCCAAATCCTTGCATAACATAAGCACAATCCTTGAAATATACAGACCCCAGGTTTTAATTATCTCAACAATAAATTACCCGCTATTTAGTTACAAAGCGGTCCCTGCGCGATGAATACTACCCTCGTTTTGCTGCATTAAAAGAGATATTTCAGCGGAATTTTCGCTGAAGAAAGCGTGAAATTTAATATCATAAGTCCCCAGTTGGTAATTAGCGCAAAAAGCTGCTCCGGTGTTTATTAGCCGTTTATAGAATTGAGGAGGTTCCTCGGCTCGGAGCTGCAACCTGTTGCCGGCGGCCCGCCTTCCGCCCATCGCAGCCTTTCCGTCAACCTCAGCGAAATACAACTGTCTCAACTTTATCATGTACTACGTAATTCCTCAAACAAAATACTTACCATCAAACGTAGCGGCTTCAGCACCAGCGGCATTTATTATGACACAAAATTAATTATGTAAAACAAATTAAACGTTATTTTTCGGTTTTTAATTTCGTTTTGCAATAATGAAAATTATAAATATTAAAATAATTCACTTTAGAAAAAAAACATCAATGGTTAAAATAAGTGCGTAATTGGAAATTAATAAACGAAGGAAAAAGAATTAAGCGCGTGCGGCGGTTAAGTTGTCGAGTTTAAAGTATCAGGATAGCAGAAGGCTGGAGAGGTGCCAGAGGCAGACGCGGCGCCGCCGCCGCGGCTGACTACAGAGTGGTAGCGGGCCGAACGGCCACGGGCCCCACCCCTAGCGCAGGCGCGCTACCACCAGCCCACTGCGCATGACCGACATCCTACCGAAAAGTGGAAAAGTGACTCCTCCAACGTAGATACACCATTATATACTAAACAAATACTGTATCGTAATAGATGCTTTCCCGAGTACATAATTTTGACCCAGTTGAAGTTTTTTACACCCGCTTTGGTGTACCTAATTTGATAGTGTCAATTGAAACGCCTCATATGCTTTTCCCATCTTCAAGCATCTTCATACCATATGATACTTAACTCGGCACATTACACCTTTTCATGTGCATCCATTCACACTGTATTATAATAATATACTTTTATTAAAATCAGAAAAATCTGTATTGGTTATTTTTGATGAGAATATTATACAATTCTCTAATACCACTGTAGTAGCCGTTTCTTAAATTTGTTTCATACCCTTTTGGCAAAGTTTGAAATTTAGACAACATTACATTTTCTGAACCCAGAAACACGCGCATTTCGAAAGCATACGGTATAGACAACTGCTGGTGAGCATAGTCGACACTGTGACCGCAGTAAGCTTTTCCATTTAAATCAAATATGCTCTGATTTGTGAATAGGTGGACCGACCCGGCTCTTTGGTTCACTTTCGCAGCGACCATGGTCGCAACTTTCTCCAGTTTTGGTCTGGACACAGCGAATGAAGATTCATAACCGTACGGATAGTTCAGGGAATGTCCATCTCTCCTCAACGAAATGTACATCTTAGCGTCCTTTCTATATTTCGTAAGAACTTCTTGGATGAATTGTGTTTCGTTTTCTGAACCGGCCGACGGACCGGGGTAAGTTGAGGAGAAAGGACTCTGTGCTGATGGGCAAGCTTTCCATTCACCCTCAAAGTTCCTGCTGATGTCCACGCCATAGCCGATGCCGTTTTCGAATGGACTCAAATTTTTCCTCCACTGTACTCTATTCTGAAAACAAGATTAGGAAAAAATAAGTTTTATGTAATGTTGTAAACAACATCATATTTTATTGATAAGTTTCTTGTAAGCTTTAATTTATTTTAAATTCTTTATATAATACTTTGTAATAAAACTTAAAAACTAAAACTTACTCAAAATATTCCAATTCCAAAAAAGTTCCCAAAAAAAAGTACTGTACTCGATGTGCTATTAAAATAATTATATTTGTTTTTCATTTCTGGATGAATTATATGCTTCAATAATATTGAAATATGAAAAGTCCTACTACTTAAAATTAGCAGTGTTATAATCTAATAAAAACAACGTTGAACTCACACTCAAACCTGTCACAGCATAGAGGTTCAATCAAATAAAGCCTATTTCAAAGCTTACAAAGGTTTTATTTTTTAGATTTTTAATCATAATAAAAAAAACTTACATAGCGCGCGTATTCTTGACCGTCCGGGTTGACAGAAGGCATTATCACCCAACGAACATTGGTGATCATATCATCATTTTCTTCGCAGGATACAAGTTGTTCTATCAAGAATAAAGCAAATCCAACGGAATCTGTGCCTGCTTCTTGGCCAGCGTCTATCAGGATCACAGGGCGATCATCCTCTGTGCCATTTTCTTGAGAATTTGTTATAAGTACCTGAAAGAAACCAATTTTGAATCTAGCAAATGTGAAAAAGAAAAAGAATCGGGCGAGCGCAGCGTAAATATAATAGTGTACTCAATTAATTTTGTTTTATTGTCGAATTTCGGATAAGTACTATTATTGATCAATTCAATTGTATTGTATTCAAAATGTTGTAAATAGTAATAAACAAAAGAAATATGCTTAAAAAATTCACCAGCCCCAGTTACCCCTAGATAGAACTCGAACAGAACCTTTTGCAATCAAAGATATAGATCAGTATAGCGTTTTAAATTCAAAATTGATCAAATATAGAACAACTTCCTTCTTAATCGAAACTTAAATATTAGTTAAAACTATTTCTTTCGGCTGTTTGGGTGGATTGCCTAAACATTGACGAAAAAAAATACTCTCATTAGTAGCGAAAAGTAACAAGTGCTTGAAATATTCTTAGTCCTGATGTGTTGGGTAACTCAATGGTTAGAGCAGTCGCCCGGATCGCCAAAGGTTGTGGGTTCGAATCTCATCTCCGAGTACCTGGGGCTGGTGATATTTTAAGCATTTTCTATTAAAGATATTACGAATAATTTTATAAGTTAAAATCATTATTTAATCCGTTTCTTGTACACATAAACATGAACACTGCAACACAATGAGAGACATAAGATTTCGAGTAGCCTATATGTTAGTAGTAGATTTTTTTTAAAATCATAACAGATAATTCAAGTCAAAAGTGCAACTTTCTATGTAGTCAAAGCATACAATTCTTATTAAAATTATATGGAAATCTGATAGGTATATTTAAAACGTGACACTATAATTTGATTAGATTTGGATTCGGTTGATTCTGTTCAACAAAATTCCTTTAACTAATTCGATTAATTAACTAATTTTCTGCTTCCTATGCTTTAGTAAACATAATCTATTGGCCATCGCGAAACATAACATCATTACTTTTTAATACGAGTATATATACGCTAAGTGTTATATCATTACTTTTAAATATGAGTATATATACGTAATGCCAGTTTCTATTTAATGCAATTAATTAATCTTGTATGTCACATTCGTTGAGTTTTGATTGTCGTTTTATATCAATGTTTGTTACTTATAATGGGTTGGTGCATAAAAATTGGCTGTTTAAATGTAATCAAACAACTCACTTCATACAAAAGTCTCCCTTCATAAGTTTGTTTGTCGTGATGTATCTCAGTTATATTTGGACAATATTTTTCAATTGCCTTCAAGAATATTGTAATCTGAAAAAGATATTTGGGTTCCTTATAACTATTTTTATTCATTTTGAAACATGTGTTAATTTTTAAATGCATTAGCATATCTTAACGACCATTGTACTAAACAGTAATTCAGTATAGATAGGATTAGAATAATATACCAATAATATATATATATATATATATATTGCCTAGATCAATAAGATAGTAATAAGATAGATACCTACCGTACTGGCACCTATTGCAGCGTCTGAAATGCACGTGGCTTCATCATTTGTCTTTAAATCTTGAATCATTGCTTCATAACATTCCCTTTTGTATATACATCTAAAAATATAGAACTTTTTCTATCTAAAATTCAATTGTAATTGTCTATAACAAATCGATCACTCATCTGATGATTAGTTTTCTGGTAGCTTGAAAACCTCAATCATTTGATTGTGAAGATTGTCTAGATTCATGTTGTAGTAATATCATTGTGTTTGTAGTGAATTTATAAAGTGCAAATGTAAGTGCCTCCTAATATATGGACTAACAATTTTCAAAATTTATGAGAAGTGTTTTACTAAACATTTCATATAGAATAACAATTTAAATTCTAAGTAATAAAATCTAAATAGAATAATTGTCTATTTGGGTACCAGATAATTTGCATTATCATATACTTTTATAGAGTTTAGGGTAAAGAGTTTGTGCATGTATTATATGTTTGGAATATATTTAATCTGCTTTCGTAGAAATATAGAATATATAATTATACATTCAATTAACCTTTACTACCTTTTGAAGTAGGTTTTATTGAATTAAATACTTAATGCTGATGTAACAGCGTCATGTTTGAATCTGTATGTTCAGACACTGGACAGTGAAATATAAAGTAGATTAAATCGCAATAATATAGGTATAGTCTAACACAATTCTATAGCGTAAGTGCGTTTTGTATGTTATATAAATTTTAAAAAATCATATGGTTAAATTATTAAAACTATAAACCTAATGAAAGATGATTGCTACCTACCCACATCTGTCACTTATCGCAAAACGAACATTTGCTGGAAATTAAAAAATATATATTATGACGATATTAACTTTATTAATTGTCTACTACTACCTTTCTTACACTTCATACCATTTAAAAGAAATAGTAGAGTTACTTTTAAATAATACATAACTATTGCCAATGCAGTACAAATAAATATATTGAAATTCTCGGTTAAAATAAAAAAAAACCTTGTAGTACGTAAATTTTATGGCAATATGTCAGTCATAAAAACTATACGTCAAGATAAAACTCGCATACATATTAATGGAAATCGATTTCATATACACAAGAGTTTTCAGAATAATTTATTTGTAAACTATTATTTTGTCAAAATTCATGTAAAGTATATTCAGTCTTCGTTAGAATCAGATGTAGAAGTGTTTTTTACCCGGAAATGTTCCATCGGTTTGAATTCCCTTTTTATTTGAGTACCAAACTCTTTGAAACCTTCATAAAATTGTGGCAAAACTATACGCAAGAGGGATTCTGGGAATACGAATTCATAACCATCAGTTAATTCCATTGTATAAGAATACGGGACACCGATCGCCCCAAATGCAAAATCATCACTACCTCCAGCAGCAGCATACCATTTTCCAGCGCTCAAGACCTTAAAGGGCGCTCCACCCGCACTTTGAACGGCTGCCGATACTCTTTTTGCCATTTTGTCCAGTTTTTGCCATTCTTTCGGAAGGAAATCTCCAGTGTAACCCCATGGATACACTAAGTATTGCCCATATGAATGTAGTGAAACATATAATTTCATTCGTTGGCCATACTGCATCATGACGTTTCTGACCATCCGAGTTTCGGGTTCGGAAAAAGGCTTCGGGCCGGCATAAGTTTCCTTATTGCATGGATCTTTAGAAACACCACTGACAGCCCATTTGTATCCATAGTTTCTGTTTCCGTCTACTCCTAAACAATTGGTACTTGTTTTTGACCTTGTTTTTCTCCATAAGCGATTCTGAAATATTTAATTTGTTTTATAAACTTATTCAAAAAGGATTTAATCTCAAATTAATCAATTGTTTTGAGTATTTTTATCAAGCATTCATAATTAATGTACTTTCTTGATGATTATCATCATTAGAGAACATACAATTTCTGTGGTAACGTTTAATGATAGCCCAAAAAATAGTCTAGTTACTTAATTTAACATTAAAAATATAGACATTGTGACCAAAAAAAAAACGTATCTAAAGATAATAAATACTGTATAAAATCTTTAATAGCAGTGAACTACTTACCGCCTTGCTTGATCGTGTGAATTCGTACCCATCAGGGTTAACGACGGGAAGAATGTACCAATCCACTCCTTCCAGTTCTTTTCGTCGGCCGTCGGGATGGTTAGTTAATCTGTGGATTATGTACAGTGCCATTGCGGGAGCTGCCCACTCACGAGCATGAATGCCTGAAGGATTGCATACTTCTTGGTTAACATTTAAAAAAATTATTTTATTTTATGACCTCTATTTAATTAGTAAATAAATTGAAAAAAGAACACATTTAAAGCCTATAGAGTTATTCGGTATTTTTGATATTTATATAAACCAAAATCACAGACTATTTTACTAACATTATGACGAATAAAATATATCTAAATACTGGCTGTTTTTCGCGTCTTGGCCCGCATAAATTATAGAATTTTTATGATCGGGTCAGTATTTGTTAAGATTGCCCCCCCTACAAAAACAAAGATATAAACTTTACCTCTTTATAATATTAGTACATATTTAATGTCGCAGGCAATGGCAGAAATTTGCATATAAGTATTCACCTCAAGCTATCTTTTCAAAACTGATTAGAAAATTTTCACCAAGAGTAACTTGACAACACTAAAAGTTTTAACGAAGTGTATCAACCATTTCTTTGTCTCTATAATTTGGAGCGCCCTGGAGCACTTTACAACAAAAACATATTACGAAAATTCTACTCTTTGTAATGACTTTAGATATAAACAAGCTTAATGCTATGTTTCGTTGCTAAATTGCTAAGTTTTGTTTTTATTCACGTTTATAAGAGACGTACCTATCTAATCCAGCAGATATTTAGTTTAATTAATTACTTTGAGACAAAAAATGTGTAAAAAGTTTTTTTTTTTAAATAAATCAACTACAGCTGTTAGGATTTTAGAAGCGAAAATGTATTTCTTTTTATATATTTTTAATAGCAGACATATATTGCTGGAATCTCAATTACATAGAGACTTCATATTAAGTTTATTAAAAACAATAAAGTGATAACTCCTTTCTAACCAAACACCAAGACTTAAGTCGTAAGTTCGTTTTCAAAATATCATAGATGGCGACACAAACCACCTTTATTAATCTGTCAGTTTGACAGTTCAACTGTCAAGGCTTCATATTGACAAATCAAATAAGGTTTGAATTATTTTAAGAGATAACCGCAGTAACTGATGCGCATGACACACACCCCATAGTCACTCGACGAAGGTTTTATACTTGGACAGATTTTGGTCCTCTTCATATTTTTACTCACCAGCATCTATGAATATAATCGGATTCCCAGCGTTTGGATTCTTTGATATCTTCACCAACTTTACTGTTCGTCCTTGGTAGCTGTTACCAAGAGGTTGAAGTTTTACAATATCGGAATGCCTTCTCGCTACGTCTTCCAAATATTCTTGAATCTATTGATAAATGAAGTGAAAGTTAAAATATATATCTAAATAAGCTTAATTTAAGTTTAAATTTCATATTTTATGACATCATTATATATGCATGATATGTGTTTATAATTCATATTTATATATTAATTAATGTGAAATTTTGGTAGGTAGATGTATATTAATGCAAACCGTCACGACATGAAGGTGTCAGTAAAAATCGACGTTGCAGTTACTTTCAAATGTTGAGCTGACAACTTTTGAGCACAACAACGGATGCACTACATATAAAATTTCCGTACAATTATTTTGTCTTTATTGCAATACAACTATAAGTGTTCAACAAGTATTTATTAATTATTTCATTATAGTCAAAACTCAGTTTAACTCACAGAAGCAAAGGAGTTGTAGCCGTAAATATTGAAATTGTTCATAACCCTTCTCCTGGGCGATCGCTTCTCAAGATACCTGTGCAAAGAAGAAATAGTAATAAAAGAAAGCTTGCTAGACAATGATTATTTCAAAAACATAAAAGAGAAAACAATACAAAATCATGACTTAGATATTACAAACAATAGCGTATTGTGCGTAAAAAAAACGATTATACTTAATTTTTACGTATCTTTGTGGAGAGGTTTACGTACGTTTCGTAAACCCCTCGACTAAAGGGCTTTTATATTTATAAATTTACTCTATATGAAAGAGGATGGGTAACTAACTATTCTTAACATTATATATAGAGTAGAAATAAAAATAAATATGAATTCTAGGAATAACTTTCTGATTAATACTTTCACGTTTTAACTACAACAAAACCATTTGAATATTGGTATAGTTTTCCTTATTTTTAATTGCAGCTTATTTGACTTCTATTTTCTTCTGTTTCTTTAAAAAAAAAAAAACAAAGGAAACATAATTAATTTCATGTATACTCTTAGGCCTATGCCCAGCTGTGGGCGTTTCTCGGCTGAAGTGAAGATGATGATGATACTCTTCCTTAGTAAATTACGGGTTATAACCGAATATCAGTATCTGTTACACAATGTAAATTCAACGATTATAAACTTTTTGAATATGGATATTAGTTTATTCTTTCTATAGTATTTCAATGATAACGCACAAATAATTTAAAAATATTTATCCGCCCTTATTTAGCCAAGAATTTTCTACTTAGTAATACTAATGATTAGGTTTAATATTAAGTTATACATAGCCTTTATTGATTTTAGATGAACCTGCCATACCTGCCATAATGTTTCTTCTTTACTTCTAACGTCAGGTCATTATCTTGAGCATAGTCTTGTATGAATGCTATTCTACTTGGCGGAACCAGCAGATCCAGACTGTCGTTCAGTCCTCTGCTAGTTTTCAACACTTCGATGGTCTCCAGGGGATCATGGAACTTCACTGCAGATACCACTTGGTCTTCTTGTGTCGGTATCAATCGTATTAAAGTGTGACTGCGAACATGGTAATTAGATTTAGAAATAGAAAAAAAACTCGTTTTGTGGTTTTTTACGTGAAAACATAGAATTATATGCAGCTATATCTAGACTTCCCCGCCATCGCCACGTGGTATGACATCGTATGCCGTATAAGGTAGGTAGGGGATTACATTAGACTTATCCCTCGTACCGACGAAATGCATGAAACCTCGCACGTAGCGACACGCTTCATATAGTAAGTTACAATTGACATTGCGCATAGTGAATCTTCATTTGCGTAGAACTATTAAATTCAGATGTTGACCGAACGTATTTAGCTTTATACTTACAAGACTGATTATTAATTTTATTCTTGCTTTCATTTATAGTCGGTATTAAGCATACTCTGTGTAAATACAGTTTCACTATGCGCCATATTAATTAATAATTTCCGTGCTTATTTCTTTTAATCAATACGTAGTATAAAACAAGGTGCTTTCGGTCATCTTCATCGTCATTTGATGCGGTTTTTTAAAAAGATAGGGTGATTGAAAAGGAAGGTTTTTATGTATAATACAAAACTATGCGGGCGATGCCAGCCGCTGGAAGCAAATATAAGAAGCAAAGAAGAAGTGTACGTTATGATTTGATGATTATGGTGACATTCAATAGGCGCTTTTTATCTAACGTAAATTAATAGCTTATACATTATAGCTTCAACGTTTATTTAAAAACAATAAGGAAAGTTTTTTTTTTATTTCATAAATATAAAAGCAAAGAAAATAAGAACAGGCTTAACAATAGATTTAAGCCATAAAAGGGTATTTTTAAATTATTCCGATAATAGCGGAAATTAATATCTATTGATTTTAGCAGAATACCTCTCCAATTAATCTCCTTAATAGAAAAGGCGAAAGGAAAAGAAAGAAAGAGAAAAATAACATTTTATATAAATAACAATTAAACCGTTTCAAGTGCGTGAAAAAGTATTTTTTTATTTATATATTATACCCGTGTGAATTCACAAAGTCATGTCAATATATATGAAATAAGAGATAGGGTCAGCACTAAATAAATCTAAAGTTAAAATGAATTAATAAGAGGTTAATAAGAGGAAGATTAATAAGAATGAGTTTGGTATCTAAAACTTATGATAATACTTACTTGTCATATTTGAGATTTTCTTCGCAACCCACTTGTATGAATAAATGCACCATGCCTGTAACAATAAGGTTCATTAAATTATTTATATTAACATTTTATTCAACTTTATTCTTCCAAACTTCAACACCAATGTGAAACCAACCTATCAATTTTATTTTACACGTTTGACGAGGAAATATTAAAGTAGGTGCATTTTAAAGTATTTATTAAAATAACTTAATGAACTTAGTGTTACGTCATGATTTTTTTATAAACGAAATCAACTTCAAAATAGTGAAAAACTATACTTATATATATCTGTGAAACTACGTTTACGCCTATCTATCAACTTCCACGCGCAATAAGGGTCTGAAATATTTTTTTTTTAATAAAACTAGTTTAGTTTAGTTATTATTTTAAGAAATAGTTTAGATAAGTTTTAATTTAATAAAACTTTAATGAGATCACCTCAGAAATTTAAGAATAATTTTGAAAACATTTTACAATTCATGGAGAATTTGGTAAAAAAACATTAAAACCAGTCAAACATAGAAACTCCTCCTTTTTGATTTTGAAGTCGATTAATAATAATGTTATTCTATGTTATTAGTGTCAAAAAATATTTTTACTTATTCAGAAAGCAAAGTAAAATAATGCAAATATGATTCCTCTCTTGAATTTTATGATTGATAGAAATAAAAAGAAAATTAATATTTACTCGTAAATATATTTTATTTAGACAAAGAGAAAATAACATTTCAATGAATATTAATTTTAAATTATTATATCAAATTGAGACTAATTTAATTCTAAGTAGGTATACGATGCCAAGAATAAAAATTGATGTTAAAATATCTTAATATAACTTTTTAATTTTAATATCAAACGATGAATTCATATTTCTATCAAAAGATTTTTCTGTAAAAGCACAAGGTTCTTAGGGCAGGGCTTAGTCTCTTTAAGTATTTCATTAAACGTAAAAGCAATATATTGTGTCATGATTTCATAAATGTAAGGCGGTCTGCACAAGATTTTTCCAATATAAAAACACTCAAGTACTTTGAAGTCACATGTGTAACGAATTATATAGTATGCAATATGAAATACAGTTTATAATTAAGAATCTTTTATAATGTCAATGCCTACAAAATTGATCAAAGAATAGCTAAATTTCAACCCAAATATTTGCCAAAGATGGTTTTCATACATAATGTTATATTGTATAATTTTATTTCGGATTAAACTCTATGAAGCGATTACCTATATTAAAAGGGTTTGGATACTTAGAGTACGTACGATACCTCCAGACTTTACTTGGCTAGTAAGAGACAGGAAATTGTGTTTTGCCACCTTTTTGATTATAATGTTTCACATTATATTTCATTACTTCTAACTTACGATTTTGATGTTGATTTGATTATATCATTCGAAAAACATTCTATATTTGACTGTGCATGCATGTACGTGTAAAAAGAAACTGATGGAATACCACAATCTTTCCTCTCTTTTTAACTGCGTTACATTTCCACTTATAGGCAGCTATATATTTTGCTTAGTTTAATATAATAGCTCCATAATTAGAATTTAGTAATATATCTATCATATAATATCATTAATGCTTTGGCAATATCAAATAGAGTACGGAAATACCTTCAATTGTTTTGCACAATCGCAAAACATATGTATTTAAAACATTGCTAATACTTAATGAATTAAATACGAATTCTGTGGCAAATAATGTTATTATCACACTGTCCGACAAGCATTCTGCTTATGAACAACAAATGATTGCTTGTTTAGTACATATCAATAGATCCCAGTTATTGACATAAGTTATAGTAAAATACACCCAATTAATCATATGCGCGGAAATTCTGGTTATTGCTTGAATTGAAACTATAACAGAGAGATTATTCATGAGTAAAATATTTTATAATCTCAAAGAAAAGTATTCTTGGGTCATGTCGTTGCAATTTTCTCCACTATCCGTCAGTTGCACAAACATCCATTAAGGTTTAATGACGCCTTTAAGCTCTAATGAATGACAAATTTGTATGGGTAATGTCACTTTAAGCTTATGAAAATTTTAATGGACGTTTTACCAACTGGTAGTATAAGTGTTAAATCTGAAGTAAAGTACGTAATAAAAACGATAAATCAAAAAGTATTCAGTCATTAATGTATAAACTTTTTTGTATTTTGTGTTTATGCTGAATAAAAAGAAAAAGAGTAGGTATCACCAATTCGACGTCTGGAAAATTTTGGCAGAAATCACCCAAGTATTAGGTAGTTTATTTATTGCAATCAGCATTGCTATTCTATTCTACAGAGGTTTATTGTAATAAAAACCTTCCTGCCTTCAAAAGGTAAAAAAAAAGAGTTTATTTATTTATTCAGGTAACAAACAGTGACTGTTGTAGTAAAACTATTGGTCACAAACAGACCTAGAGTACTATAAATCGATATATTAGCTATAAATAATGCATGTAAATGACTAAAATCATATAAACAAGATAAGTAAATAATAAGCAACCAAGTCAATGTCATATACCACCCATTATAAAGGTTATGAAATATCTTATATAAACTATTTGCAAGCACCTTAATTCAAAATTTTGTGACTTATTTAATGTCTTATTTAACCAACTTTTCTTTTAAATACATTAAGTTATATTTTATTGCATTAAATCTCTATGCTCTAATAACACTATGGTCGATGTCGAATAATCTAAGTATTACAGAATAACGTAATACAACTAATCATGTAGTAAACTAATTTACACCAGTAACCAAAACATCAGCGTTTGACCGCACTTAATTCAGATTATTAACGAGAAGTGATTCTTTAATTTCATTTAATTTGTAGCGACATCAGTGTTTCTTCGGCTTCCTATAATTGATTTGATTTTGCACCCAACTGGCTTCCCTGGACCAATTCCAATC